GCTTCTGTCAGTGAGAACGAAGGAAGGAAACAAGCTGTTCAGCTGTGCTGTAGGTCTGGCTGCTAAGTTGGGGCAGTCACACCGGCACCTGTAATCACTCCTTGTTTTAAAGAGCACCGTCACTCCCTTTTGTGCTAGCAAATAGCAAGAGCATAGGAAAATTTAAGTGCATGCCATGAGTGCCTGCGTCCTCTGCAGGTTCTGGGGTTTGGGTAACCAGCTTTCCACCGCAGTTTGTTTTTAAGCTTTGCAGGGACTTGCCACCTGTGTTCGACTTCCCTCATTCTGATGTTTGTGAAAATTTCCCTTTGAACCAGCAGCTGTGTTTCTTACCACTTCTCCTTTTGCTTGTCCTTGTTTAACAGGACAAGCGTATTCTTTCAGCTTGTCCTGTTAAACCACCACCCCTGCAGCCAGGTCGCTGCTGGCAACTGGTGTCTGGCCTCGGCAGCAAGAGTTGAATCTCACCTGGGGCGGGAACGTGGCTGCATCTGCCTCGTTTTTCAGCGTTTGGAAGGCGCGTCGGGCTGGGGATGCCTGGCTGAGTTTGAGGCTCCCGGCAAGCCTGTCAGTTAGCTCAGAGGATGCAGAGAAAGGTGCTACAGCCTCTCCTGCCCTGCAGCGCAGCGAGGGTGGTGCTGAGCCACGTGGCGCCCACCAGCTGGGACAGAGCAGGAGCACAACCGTTCCCATCCCCAGGGCAGAACTGAGGTTAAGAGGGAACAAAGCACAGGGCTGAGATGGCTGCAAGGAAGGAAGAACCTGGCCTGGAGTAACCCTAGCAGAGCTGTGGGGTTCATCTTGGGCTCTGAACAAAAATGGGGAGGGGGGCTGTTTGCAAGCAGGCAAAAGCTTGTTTGGGACTAGGCCGTGTTCTGATTCAACTGTAATAAAGTTTAGAATAACTGAGCTGTCCTGAAAACGCTAAAACCAAATATTTCTACTCCTGCCTCCTCAAGGGTTGGGCTTGCTCCCCATGAGGAGAGCAAGGAAAGCTCTTTTCTACTGCTCATTCCCCCATTAGCCTGGAAGTTATCTCAACAGCAACGCTCTCCTCTGGCGAGCAGAAACTCCAGCAGGGTTAACCCTGCCCCAGCCTTATCTGGTGCATGTGCAGTTCCTGAAAAATAAAGAATACGCATTAGAGCTTGGCTAATTCCAGCAATAAACCCTCTGATCAAAAGCCAGGAAGGCTGCCAGCTTTTGCCAAAATAGCAAAGGGCTGTAGGACTCATAGGACTGTAGCGATGCCTTTTTGCGCCGAGGCTGGACGTTTCTTGCTGGATGAACATAAAGCTAAGCTTGGAAAAAATTGGGAAGGAATAAGGCGGCCATGGAGCTACAGGGAGGCTGGAGGCATCCGAGCTAGAGCTGGGGTCGCTCCTGTCTCCGGAGCTGGTGACAGTGACCGTCTGTGCCCAGTACCGAGGACTGGAAACCCACCCCTACTCCCAGAGCAGCTGTCCACCGCTTTATAGCGCCTTAGAGGCGATGGGAGTTGTCACGCCACTGATTTGAGAAATGAGTATGGACTAGTGTCTACTTATTACTGGTCCCAGCGTTGCAAGTCCCCTCTCACCAGCAAGGAAATCACCCGGCGTGCTGGTGGATCTTGGTTCTGGAAAAAAAAAAAGAAGAAAAACCCCAGTGAGATGTGAATGCCCATTCACCACCTTAGAAAGCCGAGCACTGAACTCGCGCTTGCCTGTAGCTAAACAGGCTTCTCTGAGCAGCTTCCAATGACATGAGGAAGCAGCAGGAAAGATGCTTAAAAGAGGGGTAAAGGCTTCCTCAGCAAGTGTTTAGCCATTGGCAGGGGAGGAAAGAAGGCACGTGCTTGTTAACAGCACTGCTGGGATTGTCGTGTCAAAAAACTCCCTTCTCTCCTGTTTTTAAGGGCATTGCAGACATCTCACGGCCCCAGCTGATGGCACTCGCACACGTCCACTTGCCCGCCATCCAAAAGGGTGGCCTGCTGCAGCTGGAGCCAAAGCAAGGCAGGTGGGAGAAGTCTCAGGCCATGCGCGAGATGGCCGCAGCCAGAGATTTCTGCAAAATGCAGGAGCAAAACCTGCTGCTCAGGAGATGCTGCTGCTGCTGCTGCCGCTGCTGCTGCCGCCAATCTGGGACAGGGCAGGTGCCGAGGGCCAGACTCCAGGGGATCTCGTGCGCCTGATTTTGGGTGTATTCACCACTGGGTGATCACTCACCTGGTTCCCCAGGCTGCATGGGAGGTCAGTGCTCTGCACACTGGGCCATCCTGCCTAACCAGCTCCGCGGCGGGTTAACCCCTTCCTGTTGCATCCAGCTGGGTGCCAGCATCCACCCAGCCACTTGCAGCACCCCTCGGCTGCCCGGGAGAGCGCCCT